CGCAATACAGCGCAACGGTTTGAAAATAACGAAATTTTTCTTACGTAACCCAGAAACATACCTCTGTGGATAATCGCTACCACTTCCTGAAATCATTTACGTCAAAAAACTAACTATATGAATATATATTTGCATGTCGTGTGACGTGTTGTCGTATTATTGTCATCGTTATTACTGTAGATTATAATCTTCGTACTAAAATGTTCATACTCTATCCCATGGATTATATAATTATATTTCCATAGTCAATGTCATACTTGTTTTTATAGACCCATTGTTATAAAATTATTGTTTTTATTTCTGTTTCTTTGGTAAATAGTAATTTAGGCTCAATGCTAAGTAAAAAAGTAAGAAATAAATTAAAATTAAGCCCCCAAAACCAAAAAATTTTGGATTATTTTACGCAAAAATCGTTGGTAACTTTACCACTAATTCTATGCAGAAATTTGTGTATAGTCTTATCGTAATCAAAATGAGACCAACCCAAAAAAGCTTGAGAAAGGTATGTGGCCAGTTGGTACCTCGGTTGGTACAGAAATAATCATTATCAACGCAAGGCAGTTAATAGTGAAAAAAGTATATGGCACTTTTCTTAAAGGTACTTCCTAATTAATAATTTGAAACTAATGCCTCAAAACTAGATATATTTTCGATCCATTAATTGCAAAAATTAAATTATTCAATTATCGAAATGAAGAACGATTTCCGTTTGCACATCAGGCATCAGTCCAGAAAGTATTCCAGTAGGTAACTATACTACCAAAAAAACTAGCGCATTCGACTGGAGGAAATCGAGGATGTCCACAAAAGCGCTGATCAAACAGCTAAAGTGATTGTGGTTTTTGGAGGCAAATCGTCCCGCGCAACTTACCCAAAGTTAACGCTAACTTTTTCAATCCCTACAAACGCAAAGGCAATTGTAACACCATAACGTATTGTAACACTGAATAGAAATAAAATCGAAACATTATTGTGACGGATAGGTATTGATGACACTTACGTAAACTATGACAAAACATAATTACTTACCGCAGTCGTAATAAGTCGATTCACTAACTGTTATAAAATACAGTAGCGCGAATAAATAAAAAAATAATCGTCTCATTATAATAAATTAATACACTTCGATCGAGTCGTGTGCGTCTCACAAACTGAGGACGTTATACGGGAGTCAATATCGCAATGCTACTGTCGTTGTATGTGGAATGATGACTTACTCTCCTATTATTTCATTAAAATTTATATTGACAGTGGATATACACGGTACATGTACCTATACACGTTAGAAAAATGAGATGGCACCTGCAGCTTGCTATTGATGGTATACTTCATGTTTTATACACGTTTAATTGGTACAATTAATCCATTATAACTTACCGGATATGAGCGATTTGAATTAAAGTTTCCCATTTTTTAATTTGAATGCCATGGGGAGCGTTCATTCCCAAATTTAGATGATAGCCGTTTAAAAAAATATGCCAAGTTGTTGACAGAGCAGCTTCGCATTGCCCTACCCTCGACCCTTAAGGGACCGTTATGTGAAAATGTACATAGAATCATTAAATGAGCTCGTCCATATGAAGAAATATTGTAAATAATTTTTTGTATCACCGTTACTTTCCGCAATAACCGACTGTCCCAAGGTAAATGGGACACATTAATTAAGTGACATTCAAATATAAAAGGTTACAGAAATGGTAGTCACACAGTGTACCGCAACTCACAAACGAAATGACAGCTACACCCAAATTATTCGTCTCGCTCCCATAAATCATCCCCTGAAGCTGATATCTTTTCTAGTTAAAAATGGTATCTAGCCCACTATTTTTATTAACGTCCTGTTTGGAATTGCATGTCTTTGTTATATTCGGATAAAAGCGAAATTCATCGTTTTTTAAATTAATAATTGTAATTAGTTCGCGATAGTCGATACCTTCTTTTATGATACGTTCTCTCTCAAATACCTCGGACCGGGCACCACATTGTTGCGACTTCAGGTGATTTTTTTTACTTTCGTTTGGGTTTATAGTTTAGATAACAGTTGTATGACGTTACGGCACTCAAAATTCAGATATAATTTCGGCAATTCCTGCTCCCCATTTTAACCTAAAGAAAAAATAAAAACACCTTTGGATAGATAATTAAAATCGGCATTAGATGTCACCAAAAAGCGTGCCTAAGTCGTTTTTTAAAAGTATAAAAGTTAAATAAATCTATCAAGGTAGTAAAAAATTGGTTGGCCATGATTTATCTACCGCATTTGTCACCTAATTCTTTGATTTAACTGTCATCTCTAATTGAATAATAATAAACTATAGGGAAGAAAAGGTCTTTATTGTAAAATCGTTTTATACTGGGAATATAATACACGGCGAAGTTCGTGATTTATTATTTTCAGCTTGATGACAGGCAGTGGCGGACTGGCACGGCGGGGCGGGTGGCGATTGCCACCTGGCCTGTAGATCATAATGGCCCGTTGGAAATTTATAAGTATGTGCTGTATTTAGTTTCTTGCACTATTAATAAATTATTAACAAGTTTCTCTAATTGGGGTTGATGTTAGGTTGTTAAAAAATTCTGTTTTAATTGAAGTGTTTTACAATGAATTTATAATTTTTTGTCGTAGCATGAAAGTGCTGAAATACAATGATAGGCGACGCACCTCGTGTGGATTGTATATTTTGTTACTTTTAATTATCAGCTGCAATTTAAAAAAAAACTGTATGGTAATTGATTTTCGAGAAAGGAGTACTTTAAAATGTTTTTGTGGTGCACCTCAGAGCTACCCCCCCGGCACCTTCATTACTACACTAATACTTTAATGGCTTAATGGCCCTTAAGTACCCAGTCCGCCCCTGTGTATAACCTTCCTTTTTTACCAAAATTCGACTACACCAAAATTTCTCGGGAAAACACTTTTTCTTATTAATTTGGGCGCGTATAATCCAAATCAATTCGTACTTTTTCGATCAGACTTCTCAATCAAAAGTTATAGACTAGAAACCAATTTCGAAAAAAAAATTCAAAGGGCTGTAACTTTTGAACTAGTAGCCCAATCTTGGAACTGTTTGAAATTATGGATTCTACAGGCCACATTCTATAAGAAAATTTTTTCCGGTTCGATCTGAGACAATTTTTTCTTCGGGCCTCAAAAAAAGGCAGTGTATAACCTTCCTTTTTTACCAAAAATCGACTACAACAAAATTTCTCGGGAAAACACTTTTTCTTATTAATTTTGGTGCGTAGAATCCAAAACAATTCGTACTTTTTCGATTAGACCTCTCAATAAAAAGTTATGGACTAGAAACCAATTTCGAAAAAAAATTCAAAGGGCTGTAACTTTTGAACTAGTAGCCCAATCTTGGAACTGTTTGAAATTATGGATTCTGCAGGCCACATTTTTTTTTTCGGGTCGATCTGAGACAATGTTTTTTCGGGGCTCAAAAAAGGCAGTGTATAAGACAGGCCAATCTTTTATAGTGTAATTATTTCACCCTTTCGTGGATAAAGTGGGATGATAGTCAAAGGAACGTTTTTTTGTAGTAGGTACCTAGCAAGTGCGACACGTCACTCCATGGTCAACCCCTTTTTTACCAATTTTTAGGATTTGAATTTAATTTTTAGGCTTGCATGAGACCTCACAGTTGCGTATTTTTATGTCATCCGATAGATAGTTTAATTATATATCCGAGAATGTTTTTAATTTTCCCGTAGGATGAAATGGGGAGCAGGAATTACCGAAAATGTATTTTCCCATGTTATTTCCCTATGTCCCGCCGTTAACTTGCCACACTGTATATAATGACTGATGTTATAACTTAAACTTAAAGTTCTTGTCATTGATACCTAGTGTTATTACCTACATGAAGTTTTTGAGTTTATTTATTGCATTGATTATTGTTGTTAAAAGCTAAGATGGACCTTTTATTCTCTTCAATCAATCATGGTGCAATAAACCTCTCGCCAGGAAAGATTGCCGGTCATAGAACACTTGATCCTGGTCTAATCTATGTTTTTCTAAAGATGTGAGCGACTTCTGGAATAGTATCGTGTCAATGTTGAACAGAAAGACGTTCCGTTCTACATTGGCACGATTCTATTCCGGAAATCGCTCGCATCTTAAGAAAAACATAGATTGTAAATCGACACAAGGTGTGCTGTGACCGGCAATCTTTCCTGGCGAGAGTTATATGTTGTTAATGGTGTAATACTGTTGGACATTAAATTATTATTGTGTGCCTTTTGTTTTCTAATTTGAGTGAAAAATTAAGCGTTATTCAATGTCATGAAATTTATATTTTTGAAAGGAGTCGTAAGAAATAGTTATTTGTACAGAAGAAAGTGGATTTCTTCTCAAGTTTTACACATAATTTTTTCTGAAACTACAATCCAAATGGTAAAATTATCGTATGCAATAATGAAATTTGACACACAGCAATCTAGATACGAGTACGTTTCAATTTTAAATGTCATGATTAAGATTAATGATTAACACAGCAATTGTTTTTTACTTTTCTCACTAGAGAGGAAAATCACATTTTCTTCGCCCTTTTTAGAGACGAAAATAGTTTCAGAAAATAAATTTTTACTATTCTTACCCCATACAGCAGAGTATTGCAATGACATTGACATTAGGACGATCTGTAATTGCCTCAAGGTACAATATAAGCTCTTATGACAATGTCTTGTTGCTTACAGTGACATGTCCACGAGGCGCAAAATAAAGAAGAAAGAAAGAGAAAATTAACTTTTCTTTGATACCTACCATCTATATCTTAGAATATGGAATATAATCATAAATTTGCTATTCAGTTATCTAAAACATTCTTCTTCCTGTGCAATACTTGAACCATAAATAGAAAACTATTATAAGAATAAATATCTTTATTATAAAATTATTTTTAAATACAGAATTTAACATATTCACGTAGAAAACAAATTTTTCATTATTCACTTAACATTTTATAGTGAAAAGTTTTTATACAGTATTGAAATAGGCCTTCCTATAAATGTTAAGATAAATTCATTGGTTGTAAAATTGCATTACGCCAGCTAATATGTCTATAGCCTAAAGAAAAGTTAATACTCTCCAAATATTGCACAAGTTGTAAAAATTTTTTAAAAACACTGCAACAGCAAACGACTAGTTCTATTACAAAATATTCAAGTGTCAATTACTGCATACAGAAAGTGCATCTATAAGATCTGCAATCCAAACGTGACAAAATGAAAAGCGCACAGCTTGGAAAAAGACGTAAATTGATACAATAGTTTTTTTTCAGAATCGATAATTACATTAATCAAGCACCTTTCTCGAATGATTTGTGATATGGACGAGTTTGATATTAGGACGAATTACACTTGTATACAATTTTACAGATGCTTGCGAAATAATGTACAAATTAACAAAAGTTACCGACTTACAGGTTACAATACATTTTTTTAATTATTTCAAACATATTGCATATAAGAAAAATGATTACAGATCAACCAAAAATTCACTAAACCTTAAAATACGACATAGATCTGCTATTTAACTAAACTTCTTAGGTTGTATAGAAAAGTAGTCAGAGGGCGGTTATTGTAAATTAGGCTAAATTTCTGCGCGCCCTGGCTAAGTTTTCTGTACACTAACACGAGAACAATCGGAAGAAACACTTGGAAGGCAAGCAAGAATAAACTTATTAGTAATTATAACAAATGGAGGAAGAGATTTGCAGCATTACATTTATCAACATTGTAAATGATGATGAAAAATATATGAAAAAAAGAAGTAGTCAAGAGAATGATCACATAAGGTTAAATATCACAAGTACATATATCACAAACTGTTCGGATGACTACATAATGGCAGTGCTGCAATCTGCATTATCTCGTCATAACGCTCTCTGTGTAACAAGAAAACAGTTTCTACAAAAAAATAGTTGCATGTTAACTTGTAAAGGGCAAGAGCTTGGGGGAGGGGGGTAAGCAACTGTCGACAATTTGATGGCAGTGACAACACTTCAACAGCATTGTATTATTAAAGACTGCTAGCAGAATTGAGCAAAATATGAAAGGATTGCGTTATTGCTTAAGTATAAGATGTACTTGTGACAATCGTTCAGACTTTACAAATGTATGAGGCAAGAGGCTGGGATAAATCGGTATGGGTCGCGAAATCTATTTGTGTGTAGCCGAATTTCTCAACGATATTGTTAGTAAGGAACTTATCACATACAAAATACCCTGTATCCCTCTCTTGAAAGAAAGCAAGTACTCGAAAATGCACAAACTAAAATAGGTACAGTAAAATATACAGGGCAGTTGATAACCTTGAGGAAGTTTAGATATCTTCTAGAGGATAGGATGTTCCTAAGAAGATAAAAACCAAAATCAAACTTATTTTTGGTATATAAACGGTGCCCGGAAATTAAGATTTGTCAAAAATGATCAATTATGGCTATCTTTACAGATATTACGTTTTTTGTTCTCGCCGCTATGCCTCTTTAAATTTATATTAGTTAGAGCTGTTTGTTTCTTGTATTTTCATTGGTAATAATTTCACGGCATTTTTCGGTCTTTTGTTTCCAAGGCACTCTCTAGAAAATTAAATAATTCGGATTTTTAGTCAAAACCTAATTTAAAAAACCATAGCGTGTGATACTTATTTTTAACCAGGGAACCAGCATATAGGAATCGAATTAAAAATGACATAATTTTGTCAAAGTACCGAGTTCCGTGACAACTCGAAATTTACATAAAAAATTCAGAGTTCTGATGAAAATCTTAGAGAGTAGAGGCCAGAGAGCGAAAACACGACTAAATCTAAAGTCATATTGGCATTAAACTGAAAATAATTTATTCTCTTCAAAACTCTGAATTCTGAGAGAAATCTCAAAACTGCCTGCCATAAATTTAAAGGAAATAAAGGTGCGCCATCCGATATTCCACTTAATGTGTTTAAGGGGGTGCTCAAGATCAATTTTGAATTTTTTACAAATTGTATTGAGAATTCTTATTGGTTTTTCCTAAATTCCATCCAGTTATGATATTTTTTTCGCAATTTGGGCTCCCAGAATTTTGAGGTTTTCTTGGAATCCAAATCAGATTTCTATTTTTTTTCAAAAGAGGAATTACATACCCTTGAGAGTGCCTGCAACACTATCATTTTAATTTTGTTTGATACTTGGACATAAAGTCAGAGCCAGACTTTACTGTACCCACTGTAGCTTGTAGTGACGATAGATTCGACTAAGTGCATTTTAAAAACAAATAAATCCGTTTAATATGAAAATGTACTTACCTTAAAGGGGCCACGTGATCCTATAAGCATGAATGAACTTACAAGAGCAGGAGAAATAAAAGAACAAAGAAAAACATTTTGCCATGATGGAACAGGTGGTTGTCGAAATGGGCGAGATTTGAAGGCAAATGGAATGTAAGAAATCTAGACTACTGTAGCCAAAGATTCACATTAGTGTCTAAGGTTGCGTTTTTAATAAATTAAATTTTCTCACCCTAACACGTCCTCGGGATCTCAAACGGAAAAACACAAAAAATTGCTAAAACTAAGTCTTGGAACGAGTTGCCTTGTGTTTTCCAATTCTGACATAAAACTAATGCCATCTGATCAGGTACAAAATTTAAACTCTTACGGATAAAAAAAAAAAGAGGACAACTAACCTCATTAGAAAATAATCGGGAAAAATTTCACTAAAGTCAGATCTAACCGAAAGTTGTGCACGTAACGTTTGAGCAGTATCGTCGCACTAACTATCTTCGGCATTTTGATTATTGTACATCTCCGAATACGTAGGAAATTTAGCTATTTCGATTTTGGGTTTGACCTTAAAACTGGGAAACAGCCCCATCTGATTCGTCCTTAAATTTCTACCTTTGCTGAAACCGTTCCAGTGGTTACCCGCGATGGCGATCACGTCTCCGATCTTGAGCTGTATCTCGCCCACTTGAGGTTCGTGCGGGAAAACGGCGACACGATTGTTCGCCGTTTGTCCGCCGTAGTAGTAGACGTCGTCGAGCGATCTGAATTTCGACGAAGCGTCAGGGTAATAATTTTGCATGATTTCGTACGCTATCCGGCATACCTGAAAGAATACTTGAAGGTGTCAGTGAAAGACGCGAGTGGCGTTACCTGCGACGAGAATGTACAAACTAAATAATCAGTCATAGATAACATGTGTATATCTAAAATAATTCCTTGCAAGGATGTATCGGAATATCGACTAGCTACAGCAGCAGTTTTGGATATTTTTGGATCGCCTAATATCTCATAGTGTCTGTATTTGGCTTTGGCGTCGGCGATTACTTTCGGGTCGTCGGTGGCCAAGTAAATTCTTCGCTTGTCCACCTTTTTCTTCAGTTCCAATTGGTTGTAGTATTCGTCTACTACATTCATGTATTCTTCGATTCCGTGGAATGCAGCTTCGGTGCCAACCTTATCTGTTCGTCTAACGTGCACTCTGTAAAAATGATAGATTTTAGAATAAATTCGGTCTTCTTTGCAGTTAAATTCATGAAGTAAAGGTTAAATTATTCTCATTTACTTATATCAAATATATACAGTGCCCCCCCTCCCCCCTAATTGTTTGGTCGTCACTTCTAAATGACAAACAATTTTCAAATTGAATTATGAGCTTCTTGGCATCAGCCCTGCTAGCGTGGATACTAATTTCTGACATAATTTTAGTTTCGAAAAATCAAGGGGTGCTTTAAAATTTCCAAAAAACTGAATAAACGTACAAAAGTCCTAGGCCTACTTTAATTTTTTTATGTTTTTTTATTTTTTAACCGGATTTTTCTAGGAAATCCGAAAAATGTTACTGAAAAAAAATGTTCAAAATAGAATATAATGGCCGTGTAGCAAATTGCATCAATTATGTTGGTGCAGGATGAACGATTATGTATTACTTCTTATGAGTAATTAGAATTGATTCTGTCTTATTAAGCGCGTTGATGCCATTGTCTTTAAAACAGCGTGTGTATAAACAGAAAAGATTCTCCATGAAAATTAAAGCAATATAATATTATAATGGTACAATTCACACATTAATAACATCTGGTACGAAGGTCATTGGTACTAAATAACACCAATTGTGGTTTAATAAATTTACATAACATAAATTGTTTGTTCTCGAGTGTGGAATGGGAATTTAATTAACTTAACAAATTTCCTCTATAACACAGTTTGTGTGTACAAAATTGTTTCTCGAAAAATTATCTTAATCTTTGAAGAAAATGGATTGTAGAATTTTCATACACTGGCAGTATACGAATACAAATAATAGTACACTAACAAGCTGTAATGTACTTATAACATTAAAATTTTTATGAACATTACGTACCTACAGTATTTTTTATTGATTTTTTTCTACATTTCCGCAGCGATAAAATATTATGTGGCAGTAACATGTTTTTATGACAAACTTAAACTTTGTTAAAGTAGGAATATTGTTTCTAGTTTCTACCTTGCTTACATTCACAATGACTTAGGGACTAATTCAACCACTCAACACAGAAAGGATGTTAACAATAGACCACAATTAAGGGTGGAAAATCAAAAAATGACACCTGGAAATAAAAACTAAAAGTGTGGTTACAATTTCAAATGCCTATCCGAAAGTCCGCCGTTCATATTGAAACACGTGGCTATTATTAGCCGAAAAAAATCGCATCAATTCAATGAAATGGGAATAAGAGGGAAACTGTTAAAGATAGTTAATATCAAAATATGCCAATTTTGATCCTCTATCAAATGCAATAGTAAAAAAATGGTCATTTCATTAAAAAACTGAGTTTTTAGTTTTTAAAATTTCTTAAAATTGGATCTCCAAAAGAAAACCTCACTTTTCTCTATGCATTGGTAAAAATGGGTCGCCATAACTATAATCGTTTTCAAGTACTCAATTTTCAAGGCACCGTTTGCATCCGCCATTTTTTTTTAAAAGTCAAAATAACTTAAAAACCATACATTGTGGATAGACATTATAGGAGTTGTCATTTAAAATAGCGAAATGACTAACTACTTCCGGAATTTCCGGAAATGCCATCATTTTGAAAATATTTTACATCGATTCGAACTTCAGAGTAACTCTTAAGTACACATTTTCAAAAACCTACCTATTTCACTTTCCCAGATATGTTTAACTAGAGCTCCCAAAAAAACACCCTGTATGTCTGTTTTGAGTGCGATTTCAGTTAATTTTTGTTAACTGGTAATAAAGCAAGCGATTATAGCTAAGCGGGGACGAAAAATCTTGGTTTCCCTCAGAACCTCCAAGGCTATGAACATTTCCGATATCTTATACAGTATGTCCAAGACAAGAATAAACAACATGGTGAAATAGGAAAGCATAAGAGATATACAGTCTGCTAAATTAGAAAACAGTTGCGCATTATAGGTTTTGGTAAAAATGCTGTTTTAAGAAATTTTCGAACTAAATATGTTGTTACCTGCTTTTATTTCCAATAATTTCGTTCCTGTTCGCTATAGAGCGGAATAAATGTAAATTTTCCTATGTTGACCAAAATATGAACTCAACACACTGTTCAGAAACTCATTTTGGAAACGTGTCTTCAACATCAACAATTTTGATACTTTTAGGCATGCATCTACTTACACTTTACTTTTATTTTTAATTCACTCAAACTTTGTTGCCTTCTGGAAAAACTTTCGATCAAAAGCACATGATATCACACTTTTGATCTCTATTTCCTTTGCAACAAAATATTCGTGTAAAAATAAAATTATCCAATTAAAAATCAAGCTCTTGTGTATTTACACTCGAAAAATATTTTGAAAATCAGGAAATCTATGTTTTCAACTAAACAATTGCTTATTTGAAAAAAATCCGTACTTGGTTACCCCTTGACACTAAAGTTTTTTTAAAATATAAGTACTTGTTACACAGCAAACAGACAGATTAAAAACTCAGTTTTTGTCTAACTCAATAATTTTTAAATTCAATTGTTTTAACTTATCCTTGACGTTATTTCGCGATAAGAATGAAAAACAAAAATCTGCAAAAGAAATGTGTGTTTCTTTGAAAGCGCATTTAAAAATACTTAAGATATAACTTTTTGAATGTTTATTGCAAAATATTCCAATCATCTGTAAACTACATTGTTGAATCGAGGTGAAAGAAAAAAAAAATAGGCTTTCTAATGACGTATCAGATGACCTATGGATGTTGCAATTTAAAAATATTCAAGATGGCGGTCGTACTCAAAAACCATGTGTCAAAAAAAATTTTTTAACCTCAAGATATTTTCAAATAGGTAATTTCAAATGGAATATATCTTAGTATATATCTCAAGCGATTGGAGCGTGAGAGCGTTGGTTCCATCTTTAATAGAGACCCTGTATACTAAAGTTAAATTTAATGACCCTTGAAAAATTCGGCTCTCAGCGAAACGCTTATTATTGGCGCACAAATTTATCCATTTTCTATAACCAAGCGTACAATAAAACAAATTATGGGTCCTTATCTGCTCATTTTAGTACCTCTGCGACCTTGCGTTGTCATAAATTAGACTGATAAGTTATCTCTAAGCTAATGTGGGACATGAGAATGGTATAATGTATATTATGTTGATGCAAAAAAAAATGAAGGTCATGCTGAAAATGTTCTATTTGGGAAAGATAATTTTTAGATTAGGTTGTTGGTTGTTATGAAAAATTATGTAATAGACAGCATAATGGGGCATGCAAACAAGTCAAAACTACAGTCAGACAAAAACCCTCAAATGGATTAAAGAGACATAAATTTATAGTTAACGCAATCTCTACCCAAGACACGGATGCCACCCACTTTTTTAGTAGAAGGAGTTAAAGCTTCTGAATTATTGCTCAGAAACTTTTTCAAACAAATCAAAATTAAATCTTTAAACAGGTGCAAAGAAAAGACAATAGTAAAGAATTTTCCGTCTTACAATTACAACAAACCTTGGAACCCTGTACTCACTATTCATAAATTCTTACCCAACAATAGGCCTTTGAAAATTTAAATTCGTAATCGCATTCTGCATAAGCAACGATGTCTTTTCCTGCGGCCGAAGTAAATACTTCAGAATTTGTCCCACCCACCAAACAAACGGATCACCATGTAGTCTTAGCAGTCGCGGTGCGAGGTCTTCGGGAATTGCTAAAGGCAAAAAAGGCGGTCTTGGCGAGATCGAATCGATAATTGGCAACGTTAAAACCTGCACGTTGCCGTAACCTGAAGCACTCGATCATTAGAAATGCACCACACATCGAATTTATCCAAACCTGGCCAGTTAGTGACAGTTTCCCCATCCGTCGACATGCAAGATTCGCTGATGGGCTGGAAGACCTCCTCCCAACCGGTCTTGTGATACCTCCACCCCTTGGATTTTAATATTAACGTACGTTGCGTTCCGTATGCCACCATAAAACAGTATACTACATGATGCAACTGACACCCATAGCCACATCCCTAACGCAAATTTAATATACTTTTAATAGAACATCCTGTACATACATACAAAAATCTTAAGTTTGTTTTTTAGACAAATTAAGTGTAATCCCTTTAAGACATGCAAAAACTTACAGGGTATCTCAAAAAAATAGTATTTTTGTTAATATCTAGTCAAATTGTTTTACTGATTTGACAAACTTTGCAAGCAATAGGGTCGATTTTAGTTGGAACACACTGTAGACAGCCGACAAGTGTATTACCTTATTCAAATTACAGACCAACTTTTTGGCCTTTTTACAGTCGGTCGGGTTCTGCAAAAATCGAAACCTCGCCTGGACTAAATTACTCAGATCATTAGCTTCCTTTTCCCGCCATGTCGCGTACCCGTCTACTTCTGCCAGCTTTTCCAGATCATTCAGTAGAGATCTACAAAGATTTGCAGTTATCCCAATTTTAGCTTGCGCCGAAAACGTACTGTTTATGTTGCATTCCTAAATTGACAATCGACTTGACAGCGGTTTGTAATTGAGATTCTTGGACATGATTTTGTAATTTTTTAAGTTCGGAGTGCATGTAATACCAAAACTCTTGTACGCTATTCGACAGCCGTCTCCTCAAAATCTCATACTGCATACTCGGATCTTCCTTCTGATGGATGTATCCTTCATCTTCGTCATTTAAAGTTCGGTCAGCTTTAATTAACCGATGTTGAAAGTTTTCTAACGCTTCTTTCTGGTCCGGTTTTAAATTACTGCAAGTATAATAAGGGAGTATGCAACGATTTCACTTAAATAGATACGTACGCTACACTGATTCCTTTGAGTACCTCTTGCAATTCCACATTTTGCTTCCGAAGCACGTCCAAATCAGCTAAAGCTCTGTTCAATCGGTCGGACGTAAGTGTATCTGTAGACGTTGACAAGTGATTTGTTAACATCGGTATAATTGTAAATAGCAAAATGATTATCCATACTAATAATAAAAGGGCTAACATTCGATTCCATCCTATTACATTTAGTTGTCTCAAAATAAAATTCATTTTTTCTACTTAGTATAGGTTATGTATACGATATTAGTCTTGGTACACGTTGATTCATTTTTGGATAAGAGTTTTGGGCAAGATTTTCAAAAACACATTTTCTATGAGCCACTACTTGACGATAATAGAACTTTTTACCAAATAATTATCTACCATTTTTTGTATACAGTGTAAAATGTGAATGGTTTTGTTGGCAAGTTAGAGACTAAACGTGATTTGGTTCCTTTACTATTCGTGTATTGGCAGAACTTAAATTTGAATTTAAAAGACCGAGTATACAGCGCGTCCCGAAGTTTCCAAGTATAATTTTATAAATAAAAAAAAAAATCAAAGCCAATTTGTTGTTAGGTAATCGAAGTTTAAAGCGGTCATAAAAGGTGATCTACAATTGCTGCATTTCTGAATTTACTCGGACCCCCTGCCTTTAAAATGTTGAATGTGGGGCTTGCACCCACTAAAACCCTTCTCCCAATCCCCCTGTGAGGCTCCACTCCGCAAACCAAGCATTCTTCTGGTTGTGTAGTTGATTCCATTCATTTGCCCTTTCACATGCCATTTCTACGAGAGCAACTGTTTGCTTTTTCTCTGATAATGTCCTATGCCTTTATTGCATTTATGGTGGATCTTTGTTGAATCCGTATTTTATTGCATATATCTTCCTCCAATCTTTTCCTAAAGGATCTTTTCGAATATTCTGCCTGAGAAATCCGGTAGTGTAATTAGTCTATGCTTTTTTTTGCGTAGATAAATTAATGAATGAGTGAATATAAGTATATACCGTGTGTCTCAGGTTGAACGCATCATAGGCAAACAGAATTAATGTATTTTTTCGCGAAGGATCCAAGAGGCTTCTTCTGAATACCTCCTCCATTTCTTCAACTGCACTACGGAGTATTTGGTATGTACCATAATTCAACCGAACTAACTGAAATAATTTAAACAACAATTGTAACCATAGTAAACCAAGGTAAATTAAATTTGTACCAGTGTCTACAAAACGAAATAATTAAATATCACCGCACATCCTTCGCTTTTAGTACAACGCTGTATATTTGACTGCCTATACATTATAGTAACATTGGTCAGGCTGAATAGGTTGAATGCTTTGCGTATATTTAAATCTGTGTTTGCAGTTTGCATTGAATAACGACCTTAATTTTTCCGTTCCCTCAACGCATTGCGTCTTTTGTTGTAATTTAGTTAGATTTAGACCACTTATTCCCGAATTGAGAGTGCAGTTTTTGTAGAACTTGGAATTGTGTCGACTGATTCCATGTATCATTTACCTTAAGCGGCCCCTACACGATCAATATTTACGTCAATATATTGCACAATAATTTACATTGTACAATAGTATTGAGCGTCTGTAGGGCACATTGAAAGATTGCGCAATATATTGAGTCAATCAAAAACTGTTTGATTTTTATTGTGCAATCTAGTAAATCAATGAATATAGTAAATATTGCTGCGTCTGTTGGTAATATTGTGCAATACCAGTTCAGTTCTGTGTTAACAGAGTAGGAATAAACCGACCATGGCTACAAATAAGGGGAAAGATGAAGAAAGAAAGTGCATTTTAGAATGTATCGAGGTGTATCACTTGGTTCATTAATTCTTATAGTTCATTTGTCAGATTTTCATGAGTGTACTTAGTTCTTTTTTTAAAGCATTCCTTCATCCACCTGCGCTTCTTTTTTCCTTTGCTTTGAAGCTATAACTAAAGCCACAGATTAAATACTAAAGCTATAGCCACACAACTTACTGTCTTCTTATAAATAGGGATCCTATTTGTGATAATGATATCATATTACCTATTGAACTCATGTGGTTGTGGTATATTTAATTTAATTTAAAATTTTAATTTAATTAATTTACAATCTTTGGTGCCACTTAATATAATGCGACTATAATCCTGGATCCAAATTTCATACGTTTTTAAGATATTTTTCTAATTCTCTCTTTTTGTTCGAAATGCCATTGTATTTGTATTACCTTATAGGAAAATATTAAATAAGTTATGGCATATAATAATAATAATAATAATAATATTGCCTTTATTATTCAAAAAAAAAACAAAAAAACAAAGATTTATTCCAGTACATTAAGGGCGAAGTTCAGCACTGCACTTAACCCCATTACTACATGTATTACTAGAGGAGAAAAAAAAAGTATTCAACTAAACAAAAAAAAACAAAGAAAATAAAGAAGAGGTACTTACTTTAAAACCATTAGCTCTTACTACGCCAACAAACCATTATTTTGCATTATTTACCCATTGATTGCTAGGCCACCTTTTATTAACGAAAGCAACTTCGGTTTGAAGCAACTTATTGACATACTTTTCAGAATATCCGGTAGCTGATTATAAACTTTTGTTATGTTGAAAGTGAACGATCTTTTGAAATACTCCGTATTGTGAGTCGGTGGCGTTAACATCCCTTTATATCTTAAATTTAACGTATGGACATCTGTCCGAAACGATATTTTTTGGAAAAGGTACTGTGGACTTTTGCATAAAATAGTTTGGTGAAACAGTGAGGCAACATGTTGCATACGTCGATTACGCATATTTAACCAATCTAAGGCCCCTAATGTGTGACTAATCCTATTGTATTTACGGATACCGAAAATTAATCGTAAACACGCGTTTTGTAGCTTTTGGATTCTTGAGGCATCAATAGAATCCAAGCACGGGCCATAAACTGCATCACCGTAATTGAATTTTGATAGCACTAACGCATTGCAAACCCGAGACCTTAGTTTCACGTTCATCATGTGCCGATTTCTAAAGATAAGTTTTAACACACTAATACGTGCGTATTAAGATTTTTAGTGACATGCTCCTTAAATCGAAGTTTGTAATCCTAAATTTTTACCGAATCATTTAACGAAATGTTTTGGGAGTTCAGAATTATATTAATAAAAGGTAACGCTCTTAATCTAGTCTGGTCCCTACCGAAGAGTATTGCTTGTGTCTTTGATACATTTAAATTCAATTTATGCTCTTCATAGGCCAGTAAATGAACGTGGAATACGGCGATACTGTATAATTTTCCGCGTCTCCACCGAATCGCATGAAAATTGGGATTTAGGTTCTACTTACCATCCACTTCAAAGTTGAACTTGAGCCCAGGGTTGCTTTTACTTGGGGGGTGAATGCCACCCCTTCTCGGGGGGGAAAAAAAGATACGTTCAAAATAAGTCCGGAAATTGATAAACTGAGTAATTCTAAGCAAGTTTTGTTCTATAGAGTTTTTTCACTAAGTCAATAGTATTAGAGTTATTTGCGAGTGAAAATGTTCATTTTTCAACAAAAAAAACCACGTTTTCAGACGGTTTTTCGCAAACAACTCTAAAAGTAAGTATCGTATCGAAAAAAGTATTCTTAGCAAAAATATAGCTTATAAAAAAACAAACAAAATGGTCTATATATGAAGTCTGTAGACCCAGTAGAAACAAAGTTGTAGCTCATGAAAAGTAGGTTCTCATTCGTCAAATTCCAAATCGAGTACTTCAACGTGAAATAACCAAAAAATGAAGCACTTTTCGGGGAAAACTTATGAATACTTTCTTAAAATGTTTGAAAAATCCTTTCATTTTGTTTTTAAGAAAAGTTCCTAGCATCAAAACAAAGTGAATTACGCTCAAAATAAAGTTAGTCCTTTTTTTTTGGTAAAAAATTGAGGAAATCACCCCCTAATTAGCACCCTAATTGTAATTAAGCGTTTCCGCTTTACAGTTTACTTTATTTATATATGGTTGATATGATCTGTAAGTTTGACCGGAGCAAAGTGGTTAGTTTTGAAAAAAATGTAGTTTTGAGATTAAAAAAAATTTTGAAATTTTGAAAAATTGCCTTTTTTTGCCAAATAATTATTAGTGTATTAGTTTAGTTTACTACAGTAGGCAACCCTGGACTCAAGTTCACCTTTGAAGTAGAGGGTAAGAGGAACCTAAATCCAAATTTTGAAGCAAATCCGTCGAGGCGCGAAAAATTACAAGGCAAAACGGTCATTTACTGGCCTATCAGAGATGTTGTTGATTAATTGCAGATCTTCACTAATTAGATCACGCACGCATTGTTGACTTGGTCTGCAGCGAATGACAAATATATTTGTGTATCATCAGCATAGAAATGGAATTTGCATTTGAAAAATTAGAAATATAAATCATAAATAGAAGTGGGCCCAACACAGACCCTTGTGGTACTCCCCTGCCATTGTATAGGAAATTTGAATCTTCTCCCCCTAAAGAAACTGCCTGATACCTGTCACTTAAATAATTTTTGATCAACATCACCGCCCCTTGATCAAAGTTAATATAATTCAGTATAGCTAGCAACAGTTTGTGATCAAGAGTATCGAATGCTTTGCTGTAATCAAGCAGTACTACTAGTGTCAATTCGCCTTTATCGGTTGCACGAATGATATCGTCGGTTATGTTCAAGAGAGTGGTGGTGCAACTGTGCCCAGGTCTAAAACCCGATTGGTTAACGGGGATTAAATCATTAGATGTCAAGTGGCTACGTATCTGTGCATCGAGGACTTTTTCAAAAATTTTTGAAAGTGTAGGCAATATATTAATGGGTCGTAAATCTTTGAAATCTGATGGGTTTTTTGTTTTCGGAAGTGGGATAACACGAGCTAAGCTAACTTCCACTGAGATGGGAATAATGAGTATTGTATACAGTAATTTATCAAGTGCGTTATATAAGGCAGAAGAAACGGAACGCATAGTTTGAGTACAACGGAATTTAATTGATCAAAACCGGAAGACTTAGATTTAATTTGTAGTATGATTTTAAACACATCGTCTTCAGAGACAGTGGTAAAGTGTTTGAAGTCTCTATAGGTCTTGAATATATGTTTTCTACCTAATCCGCCAAATACCATCTCACAGTATATTAATTCGTGGTCATAAATGTGGGGTAAGTTTATTGAACCTGTGGTTTTTATTATGGTTTGATTAGTGGTTAGAAAGAGATCTATTAAAGTTGAGGATACGTTATTTATTCGAGTAGGTTGGTTAATAGCTTGATGTAACCCCAAGCCATTACAAAAATACTCAAAATCTTTTGCTGCGGTGCTACCAAAATTCAAAAGGTCAATGTTGAAATCCCCTACGCAAAAGACCTCATCAACGCTAGGTAAAATTATAGATAATGCATCCTCTAACCTACCTATATATGTTTGACTTCCTCCATGTGGATTGTGGCGTACCACAAGGCCCTGTGTGTTAGGCCCAATTTTGCTTAGCTTATATATATATGTGTATATTTATCTTCCCCTCTATACTTCAGTATTGTTCTTTACAATCCTACGCCTATAACACGCAAGTTTATTATATTCTTTTTTATTCTTAAATCACTATAAATTATACAAGACAATTAAGTTTCATAATTATATTGTAGATCCCTAAGTGCGGGAGATTGTTATGTCCGTATAATAACGAGTTACAAGAATGTATGTGTATTGTTATGATTACTACAATCTATTACCTGCAAAGAAACCTACAAAAAGATCCACAAGGCGTTTTTTGCATTTCAAATTATTCCTATGGCAGAGCATGCATTTCTTTCTTCAGTAATTTATTTTTTAAATTAAAGTACCTACCTTTTTTTCCTTACTCTTAGGGGAGTGGAATGTAAATTTTTGGATTGAAGTTTTTTGTTTGCTGTATTTTTCATTTCAATTTGTTACCCAAAGACACTGTTGAGACGCTGGTATCCTGACCAAAGGCTGACCCCAGCAACATTTTATACGAGTATTAATGTTTGTATAATTTGTTCTATAGACTATCTCAAAGGCGTATAAAAACGCTTAGAGTGATCTTTATGCAAAAATTAACCTACATTGAAGACGGTGCTGTATAAATATTACTTCAGTTTTCAGTGCAGGTTAGCAACTTAGGCAACATCCGCGATCTACCCATCTAGCGTAATTCGTCAAGGTCTGAAAGACTTACGTCACTTCAAGTGCAAGTGTTTAATTACGCTCTCGTCTCAAGAACAAACCTCTCTAACTGTCTGCATCATTAAAATATGTGCGAAATGTAGGTCACACCATCTATATGTCATTCTTGTTTATAGCAAGTATTTGGCAATGCCTTTTGGTCTGGAAAGAGACAATTTTTAATAGGTATCTAGGGATATCGGTTCTGGTTTTCGTGTAATTCCTTCAATTAAAAGGTTACCAATAGTACAGGAAACGAAGGTTTTGCCCTGGCAATTTTTTCAAAATGAATCGATTAACTAAGGATCAAAGTCTATGTCATGGCAAAGGGCGCTCTCAGCCTGGGGGTAGTTGTCAGCCCATCTCGGGGGTGGCAATTATTTATTGTAATTTTAACACAGGAATAGATAGAAAAATTAATTCTAAGCAAAAAGTGTTCTATACATTTTTTTTGGAAGTTAATAGTTTTCCAGGTAGGGTACGAGTACGAGTTTTTCATAGAAAAGAACAATGTTTTTAATTGGCTATTGGCGAAAAACTTGACAAGGATGCATTTTATTAAAAAAACTGTGGAGAACAAAATCGTATAGCTTTTAAAAAAACAAAGAAGCAATGGGTCATTCTTAACGATGTTTTGGGGGATAATAAAGTAAAATGCGAAACGGAATACATTGTATCTACTGATGGCCTTATAGTCACCGAACCTGATGATGTTTCAGAAGCATTCAATGGTTTTTTTGTTTCTATTGTTGCAAAAATCTGTGAATCCTCAAACTTCTCATTTACCAACAGTGCCGATTACAACCATCTACCTATTTCCAACTACATCGGTTGAGAAATCTTTCTTCTGTTGCCCCACTCGTAGAGAGGAGGTAGAAAGTGTCATAAAATTGATGGTATATCAGTGCATACTGTGAAAAATTAACAGTGATAGCATTTCGCCAGTCATTTCTGATTTTTTTAATTCTAGTGTAGAAACTGGTAAATTTCTGGATCCACTCAAAAAAGCACTAGTGATCCCACTACACAAAAAGGGCGATGTTACAAACATGAATAATTATAAGTTAATTTCATTACTTTCTGTATTTGCTAAAATTTTTGAAAAACTCGTGAAAAAACGTTTGCTAAACTTTTTAAACACAAAATAAGATACTAGTCGGAAATCAATATGGTTTAGAGAGGGAAAATCAACTGAAGATGCGTTATTAAGTTTTTGTTCAATGGTTTTTGATCGACTTAATAAGCGACAATATGTTAGCGGGATTTTCTGTGACTTCACTAAAGGGTTTGATGCCGTGGCTCACGAGATTTTGTCACATAAGTTGTGGACTATAGGTATTCGGGGTATTTCTTTAGAATGGTTTAAGAGCTATCTAGAAAATTGGATACAATCTGTACGCTATAGGGAGCAGTAAGTAAATCATTGCGGAATTTTTCTGGCGTTCCTCAAGGATCAGTTCTTGGTTCAATTTTATTTCTCATTTACATCAATGACCTGTGTGCAGCCAACCTCCGCGGAAGTTTGACTTACTTTGGAGATGATACTGATCTGTGTTACTCGGCACAAGCCCCGCAGCAATTGCATTCGATGCAGGCCGATTTAGGTAGGTTAAGAATGTGGTTCAATTACAACAAAATGGTTTTAAGCACCAAAACCAAACTTCTGCAGTTTTCTCTAAGACGTCACTCAAAAAGTATTAATATTTATTTTAAATGTCAAAATTGTTTATCTCGTGAGCAGCCATACTGCGAAAGGTGCGTGTAAAAATTGAACAAGTGGAAACTATAAAATGGTATTACCCTGGATAATTGTTGCAATTGGAAACCTCACATCAATGCATTAAAGCGTTATATGTATATGGCAATGAGAAAATTCTATTTGTTAAAATTTATCTATCCGTAACCTATTTTGAAGAACGTTTATTACCTACTCACTTATTAACTCGTAAGTTGCAGTACGGTAATCTGCGTGTGGGGTGGTAGTCGGTACATATTTTTCGATTACTTGTTGTGTTGCTCAGAAAAAAATAATTCGAATAATCTAAGAACTTTGTGTGGACTCCTAAGCCCACAGATATTACGTATATCTGTGCCTAAGTCAAACATCGAGGCCTATAAACGTTTTTATACGTATCTGTGCACAATATTTGTTTAATAAATTACCAAGCCACATATCTAGCATAAGAATGTGTACGGACTTTATGAATAATTTAAAATCGTGGTTACTAACAGTTTGCGATGTAGAAATTCTTTTTTTACAATAGGTACCTACACTATTTATTTATTTATTTATTTTTTTCTTTCTTTTTCGTCAATCTTTCAATAGTGTATTTCTTGGTGAAACTCTGCCTTTGTTACTATCCTCTTGCGATAACAAGAAGATAGGTTCACAGTGTATCATTTTCTTATCCAAAGTTTAACTTTTATTACACCACTAGTAGTCTATAAATCTCTCGCCACTGATATCATATTACTGCAATTTTAAGTTGTTTTTTTCTCCGTTTAATTGATTGTAGTGAATTTTGAATTAAATTAACTTGGTTTTTTAAGTGATGGTAACCTCAACACAAAAATAATTGTTTAATGAGGTACCTATCTGCGATTCATCTACTCTTAGTTATTTGTTTCGGTTTATTATTTTTTTTAGTACATACACCTATTGTTATTTTCTTTCTGTTTTTGTGTATATCCTATGGTGAACGTGGAAATAAAAGCATCTATCAATCTATTTTAAGTTTCGTTTCCTGGACTACAAAAACTAACTTGACCGACTGCTATATCCTTTTTTTGGGTAAATGAGATCATAGTTTCGGCAACAAAGGTCCACATTCGCATCTCAAAGCTCTGATGAAAAGTCTTTTACATTTTACTGACTGCAATAAAATGTTACTCAGTTTTTAAAAAAAGGAAGCTCACATTGGTTATGTTTCAGACTATCAAGGTTTAATTTTTATCAGTCGTTGGGCACGTAATCGTTATCAGTGTTGCCATAATAGTATGAGAACATCACGCGATATACTGTAATATAACTTACTTTAATGATGATTGATGAAGAGGACCGTAACAATTTTTGGATTGTAGGGCCGAAAAGTTCGGTGCCTCATTCACATTTACATTCTTGATCAATTTGCAAAAAAACGGAAAGCTATGATTAAAGAATTTCAAAAAACATTAATTTATAATTTTTTGCATGGACGTTATCGCGTGAATGGTAAAGAAAACAAGCATGTCGTTTGGATCAAAGTATCAAGATCAATTTGATTTTTACCGGCCAATATGTAATCGTCATCAGCGGGCATAAACTATGCAAACAACCAAGCGCAATTTTGGCGTTTCTTTGGCTGCCCCAGAAGCCCCGTTACCCGTTGCGAGTTCTTCGTGCCGAAAAGGAAAGTGAAGAAGTGGTTTTCCTTGCACCTTCCTGTAATGCTTTCACGGTCACTACGTATCAACTAATAATTTGTAGGTACGCTGAAAGAAAAACGAATGTAATTTAGCCAAATTCGTTATTTATGTGAAGCTCCCCATTTGTTACTAATAGTTCAACGCGATCAGACACATTCGCGCAACCTCTACTCTTATCGTCAGTTTATTATAGTACCTATACTGTTTACATGAATAACAATAGTGCAAGGATTACAGTGCAAGCACCTGTGCAAAATGAGTGAAGTAGTGCAAACTGCAGTTTTGTTGCATTTGCCTCGCAGCAAAAAAATCGACATCGAATTTGAAAATATTACTTACACCGTGCCAAATGGACGAAAAGGTGAGACGAGAGTTATAGTTGTAATCATTGTGGAATATTAAGGTCATACATAATCAATATTTCCTGTACGCAAATTTATAATAAAATCCACTGACGGTCGAAAACTTCAAACACAAACCATACACCTATTTTTTGGCCAGTTTCCTAAAAATATCCGTTATAAATAGGTCCTCCCGCTGTATATTTTTTAAAATATTGAATTGTACAGTGGGAAATTTATACATAATTCATAGGACGTCTATTACGAGTGATTAATGTAATTATTAAAGCGCATTCCACGATTACGCTTAATTTGGGAAAAATAATTGGAGACGAAGTCACTATAGTTTTTAAAACCACGTGTAAACTGGGCAATTTTTTTGTAAATGTAGTGCACACGAAACTTTTTTAATCTCATAATGTAAACCTTGGATGTTTTTTATCATAGTGTTACTTCACTCAGTTTATCTAATAAGATAGGTAATTATCCTAATGGACAGGAAATATTCGAAAATATGCTCCTACTGAAAATTCAAAATTCGGAGATCGCCATTAGAATTTATAGAATTCATATTAATTTCACTAGGCAATAAAATTTGTATAAGGACGTACGTCTGAAGGCAATTAATAATGCTCTTTAATTTGGTTTTTATTGGCTTATCGTAAATTAAATATTAACGAGGTGAATCCTACCTTATACCTATTTGCCATATTTCCACATTCCAAACGTCATAATGGAAAAAATAGTTGTAATGTAGTTAATGAGAATTTATTTGTGGGTAAACAACTCTCGCGTGTAAAAGGTGTATAATCGTGTTCCGAACTGTCCACTTAAATTTGTTTATATCCATTGAAAAGGTTTTTTGAAAAACAATTCGCAACGAGTATTGGGAATATAATAGGTGGCGATTGTTGAAAGTGTAATTATGGGTATAAATCAGCAAACCAAATGAATTTAGTGAATAAATAAACCGATACAATGAAATATCGAAGGATCCTCAGTATTACAATCACTTTTAACGACAATTTATTTCAATCTTACAAAATACATTTTATAGTTAACAAAAATCCATCAAATTCGTCTTGGGCATTGAGATAAACCTTATTCACAATGATCTTGGTGCATGCATAACGATTTTGACATGTTTTTATCAAAATCCACGTGACGTCAAAAATGGATCAAATTCATGTGTTGGTCATTGAGATAATGTTCTTGGTCTTTTTCCCAACGATTTCAGTGCAAGAAAAACGATTTTGACATGTTTTGGTCAAAATCCATGTGGTCGCCAAAAATGCATCAAATTCATGTCTGGGGCATTGAGATAATGCTCCTAGTCTTTTTCCCAACGATTTTGGTGCATGAATAACGATTTTGACATGTTTTGATCAAAATCCATGTGGCTTCAGAAAATTAATTTAAAATTTTACTCACGGAGATGTCAAAAGGGCCTTTCTTATTTTTTGGGCCACAGTGCCAATTCACGAACTCCGTTCTACAAATTTGATAAAGAATCCACCTGCAAAATTTCATCGTAATCGGTCCATTCGTTTATGAGTTATCGTGGTAACGGACGGACAGACAGACAGACACCGCAAAATTATAAACTAGCTAGGAGCTCGTTAATAAAATGATGAAAAGATCAAGGTGGAAAATAAAAAAAAATAGAAACGGTGTGTAGTAATTTTACGTGCTTTTATCCCTGAGAATTTTTTGTTTTTTTTAAGAGGGATATCACTATTTGTTGAATTGAATCTTAAGAGTATTTCTCACGTAGGTATGTCTTAAATCATTCTACACTTTTAATTAACATGAAAAAAAAGAGAAAGGGCATAGATTTTCCGAAACTTGTGCCCCTCCCCGTTAAAATCGAAATTTAAAAAATTTAAACTGGGTCTTTCTTGCACAGTAACAATAGATGTGCAAAACCGTCGCGTACCCCTGGTGAAATTAAACTGCTTTAGTGAGTCATACTATAATAAAACATGTCCAATCCTGACAATCAATGCCAAAAGATTTCTTTTCCACATTTTGAACATCTTTCCTGAGTAAATTCAGACCACATAGACATAGAATTGACATTGAATTATTATTTATTTCAAAGCGGAACGTATATATAAAACGACCCTCATAATCGTTTGTGAACCATGAAATTTGTGCTGATGTACATTTCGATAGCCAAAGTACCTATAGCAAATAGTTTCGTGTCCTGTCCCCTATTTTACCGTTTCATGTCACACGCAATCATAATCATAATCATAAATTTATTAGTAAGTAGAATTGCAATAACAATTATTTACACGTCAATAAATAATAAAGAAATAGTAGATATATAAATATAACATATAAATATAACAGACACAGACACACAAGTAATTACAAAGAAAACGTACACATAGCCGTAACAAATTCACGCTCACAGTAGATGATTCTATCCAACAAGAATGCCTTAATCCTGTTTTGAAATTGGCCAAGGTTTAGGCCGCTTTTCATTTGATCCGGAAGGGCGTTGTAAAGTGCTACTGGTACTCCGGGGATGTCTTGTAAAACGAATCGCGTGGTTTGTCCAATCTCAGCTTGTGCTTGCAGCGTGTATCGTATGAGTGGACCTCGCTGCCAGTTATGAAACTTTGTATGTGCTTATGTACAGGGTGTTTTTTTGGGAGCTTTAGTTAAACGTTTCTGGGAAAGTAAAATAGGTAGGTTTTTGAAAATTTGTACTTAGGAGTTACTCTGAAGACCGAATCGATGTAAAATATTTTCAAAATGGCCACCCTTCCAGAAACACCGGAAGTAGATAGTAACTTCGTTATATTAAATGGCAACCCCTATTTTTTATTGCATTTTTGGATTCTACGTAAAATTTCAGTTCTTTTGATACCCACATGTCCATATCTGTCATTTATGGTTTTTAAGTTATTTTGACTTTATGAAAAAAAATGGCGGATGCAGATGGTACCTTGATAATTGATTACTTGAAAACGGCTATAGTCATGGCAACCCATTTTTATCATTGCATATAGAATGAATGGGGCTTTCTTTTAGTGTACTTAAAAAAAATTAAGTTGCGTATAACCGCACCTATGGAGATCCAAATTTAAGAAACTTCAAAGTCCAAAAACTCAGTTTTTTTAAATGGAATGACCATGTTCTTCCTATTGCATGAGATAGAGAATCGAAATTGGAATATTTTGATATTACATGTTCCTATAGCTATCTTTAACATTTTCTGATTTATTCCCATTTCAAAGAATTGATGCCATTTTTTTTTGCATTTTCATTTTAGTAGTTGGCCATGATTTTATAACAATCGAATTTTAAACAAATCAAGAAAAGGATTCTTTAATATCATTGATTCTAGTCTAAATAATTCATTAATAAATAAGTCATTTATTAAGGATATAGGACGGATAATTTTTGAGAAATCTAGACAGAGTCGTTCAACTGAATTTCTTAAACAACGTATAAGTCTAAAAATTCAGAGAGGTAATGCGATATCTGTTCTAGCAACAATTCCATACAAAAAATGTTTCAACCAAGTTTTTTATATTTTACATTGAATTTATTTTGTTAATCTTGCATTTGCAATTCAATTCATTTTCTTAAATACTCTCTTGTAGAGCTTTGTATCACTTGTGCTTCAACGGTTTGTAGTGCATTTGGGGGTACAAAATTTCCAAAATTCATACAATGTCGTTCCAGTGTTCGAATGAATGTACGGCAAGCACGTGCCGCGATTCTGTTCATTTCACCATAAATAACAATTAAATTCAAAAATAGGTGAAACCACTGCGAGTCATTTTTCGATTTTTGAAAAACTTATGTTAACCTATAACAGTAGGTGACGGATTAGTGTCACTAGAATTGTTTAAAATTCAATTGTTATAAAATCATGGCCGACTACTAAAAAGAAAATTCGAAAAAAATAGTGTCAATTCAATAAAATGGGAATAAGTCAGAAACTGTTAAAGATAGCTATAGGAACATGTATTGTCAAAATATACCCATTTCGATTCTTTATCTCATGCAATATTAAGAAAATGGTGATTCCATTAAAAAAAACTGAGTTTTTAGTCTTTGAAGTTTCATAAATTTGGATCTCCACGCAGCTTAACTTTTTTTTAAGTACACTAAAAGAAAGCTGTATTCATTCTAAATGCACTGATAAAAATAGGTTGTCATGACTACAACCGTTTTCAAGTAATCAATTATCAAAGTACCATCTGCATCCGCCATTTTTTTTCTTAAAGTCAAAATAACTTAAAAACCATAAATGGCAGATATCGACATATGGGTATCCAAAGAACTGAAATTTCACGTATAATCCAAAAACCCAATAAAAAATTGGGGTTGCTATTTAAAATAACGAAGTTACTATCTACTTCCGGTGTTTCCGGACGTGCGGCCATTTTGAAAATATTTTACATCGATTCGGCCTTCAGCGTAACTTCTAAGTACAAATTTTCAAAAACCTACCTATTTTACTTTCCCAGAAACGTTTAACTAAAGCTCCCAAAAAAACACCCTGTATATATGAGACACAATTATATACATAAATAGAGTAAAGTGTCATTATCTTGTAATCCCGAAATATATATCGGCAAGTATGAGTTGGTTTTAAATTAAAAATAAGTCTAATCACTCTTTTCTGCAAAACAAGCACGTTCACGGTGGACACTACCTCCCCAAATCGCAGTGTTATATTTAATTGCAGAAAACACGAGCGCGTAATACACGCTTCTGAGAGCATTTTGACCAAATGAATTTTTCAAATTTAGTATTAAATAGTAGGCTTTGTTGATCTTCCCGCATATGTCATCCACCTGGTTGGTCCAAGATAGTGCGCCGTCGACGTGGATGCCTAAGAACCTGGTCGTAGATACACTAGGGATCACGTGGTTTTTTATAGTAAAGTTAAATTCGTTTTTAGATTTATATCTGGAGTGAATCTCAATAAAAACTGACTTATTGTAGTTTATCGTTAATCTGTTTTTGTTGCACCACGAGTCGAATTGAAGTAGCA